ACATGCATAGTTTAGTTACTTAGAATGTGTTATTTATAACAATAGTAGTTTTTTTCTTTTAAAAACATAACTATTTATAATGCTCCCTAAATAATAAAAAAAAAAATTATAGTTTTCCCAAAACTTTGTCTTCAAAATAAGGGTGCGTCTTATATTCCGAAAAATACGGTATTCATTTTATTCTATATTGTTGACTTAGCAATATTTCATGGTGGAGGGGAGTAACAGATACAATATACAGTAATACTGACAAAAACTTTAGATATGCATTTCGGAGGTTATGCAAATACAAACTATACAAGGACAAAAAAAGAATCTTTATTGTTCACAGGAACATCGCCTTGCACCCCGACATATTAGTTTGAATCAGACTGATGCCATTAAATCAGACATCTCTCAAGTACAGATATCTTTGTAACTAGTGATTTTTTTTGTGTACAACAGACTTGTACGTTTTACTAGAAGCCATATTTACCATATTTCTTGTATATACACCTAGTAGATTAGGAATTGTAGTGAATATTCCTTCTTCAATATGGTGTCAGTCCAATGGACCAAGACCATGTACATTGGGTTAAGTTGTATTTATTCAAAAATGAAGACAATTTTTGTGTATGTGAAGACCTCAGATAAGTCTTTTTATGTATAGAGTGTACAGTAGCAGTGGTGGAATATTCTGGTGGTTCAAATGTTAAATGTATCATATTCAAACAACAAGCATAAGTAAAAGAACTTTTAATTTATGTAGAAAAAAATATGTATACATAAATTGATTTCAACCAAGAATATATATATATATTGGAGTGAAAATGATAGGTTATCCCATTTTCGTATTTATGATTGGCCTACCAGCTCAATTTCTTAAGTTGAACTTACAGTCAATATTTTATTATATAAGGTTGTGTAACAATACTGGAATTGTTTTTATGTAAGAAGGATGGAATAGAACTTTTTCAACTAGTCATTTTTTATTGTATTTATATTTCCTGAAAAGATTTGAAATATATACCAGGTTTGTCTCATTTTTGTTGGTTTCTCTTTCAGAAAAAGACTTGAAGAAAGTGAACATCAGAGTGAATTAGGAAAACTTTTACTTGGTGTTCAAGAAGCAGCTTTCCTGTTGGCTGTCACTGCAACTCATTGTACGGAAACATTCTTGTATCCTTTCAAGTGAAATTTAGACACTGGATACGATGCTCCCCGAGCCTGGCATGGCCAGGTGGTTAGGGCGCTTGATTCACAATCTGAGGGTTGTGGGTTTGATCCCCATCCCACCAAACATGCACGCCCTTTCAGCTGTAGGGGGTGTTATAATGTGACAGTCAATCCCACTATTCATTGGTAAGATAATAGCCCAAGAGTTGGCAGTGGGTAGTGATGACTAGTGGCACAGCAGTATGTTTGTGGACTTACAATGCTACAATCTGGGTTTCAATACCCATGGTGGGCAGAGCACAGATAGCCCATTGTGTAGCTTTGTGCTTAACTTCAAACAAGTCAGATCAAACTGGATTGACTGATATTTCCTTAACTATGCAATGACATATTTATTGGTATTCAAGTAAATATCTATTCTCCAACTGAATAATTCTTGTTGAATTTTACAAATGTAAGATTAGGTTCAAAATATTGTGCCAATTGGTTATCTGGATGTACTTTATTATAAGTTTGAATTATATCAAATATATAGTTGCAATAAGTATATTCAAGTTTTGAGCTATTGAAGTTTTAGGAACAAAAATATGTTAATTTCACTCAACAAGTAATTAAATTCCTTTGATAATTTAAGCAGTTTCAGTTTGTTTTGTGCATCTGTTGTGAAAATGAAGCAACTATTTAAAGAATTACTTTGTTTTAATAAATCACACACAGGAAAAATTCACAAATTCAAAAAAAGATTTTTAGCATAGCTCTTCAGAACAATAAAATATCTGCTCTGTACTATTGGTCTCCAAAGCCCTATCATGATTCACAGAGGCACAGTGTACTAGAAACTCCTCCTTTATCCCCAAATACTTTTATATCTTACTCAAGGGGGGTTTATACCCATAAACAAACACCGTCAGGACACCCACCCATGATTCTTGAGCACATGTCCCACGTTTAGCCCTCTGACTTTTGAGAGGTGACATAAATGGATGAGGGCACCAGGAATACTAAATCCGATGCCAGTTTTGGGTTTGAAAACCTTGAAAAACCTGTTTCTAGACCCCTTTTATGCCTGTGTTACCTTGTGGTGTGTTTTAACTTCTCTTAGTAGTGGGGGTGAGGGGTTGCTTTGCTATATAGATAAGGACCTCACTTGAATCATCCTCAATCTCCCTCAAAAGTTTTGTCTTGCTTTCTCCAAAACTGTGGGAGAAGTTTGTGGATAAACAAACAAATTCACAAAAAAAACAACAACCTTGTATTAATATAGGATACTTTCCTGCAAAATACTTTTCCAAAGATCATCCACACATTTTTCTGGTGATTGTTTTTACACAGCTTCAGAATAACTTAGCTTCTTTAAATTGTGTTCCAATTCTGCAGTTCAGAGACACAAGTTACCTGTTGTCTAAGCATATCGTAGAACACAGGTTCAGAAACTCCTGAAAAGAGTGGCAGAGACTGTTATAGAAATTTCTTTTGAGGTTTTATTTTCATTTTGGATATCGGTATCCAGTAATAATTTTCTTTTTTTGTAATTTTCATCACTTGAGATGTTATTTCAAGATGAGAGCTATGCTTGGCCATCAGGTGTGTTTATTGAATAATCAAACCCAAAGGCAGATATTAGAAGTTATTTGTATTATAACATATTGCTATTTTCCTGGCTAATTGCCAGGATAGAGACTTTTAGCTGTTCTATTTTATCTATCCAGTTTCACCCTTGTTTAAAAATTTTGCTACTGGCATCTTTTTCTATGCATGTCATAAGGTTTTAGTGAGTTACATTCAAAATTTAATTCAAGTACTTTCTTGTCATGGTATATAAATTAACTTGGCATAAAAATGTAGCTAATAAATCAAGTATTATTATATAAGTTTTAAGTTATTAATTTTATAAGGCAATATTTAAAAAAAATACTGAATTTCCCCTAGTATGAGAATTGTGACATTTGCTCTCTAGGTATACCCTGTTCTCTAATTTATTTATCACCCCTCTAAGAAGTATGAAATTTAACATAAATTCCTCCTCATAATGTTATCCTTGCTCAGGCAATACATAAATTTTGTAACCTTCAATTTTATTTAGTTACAGAGCCATCAAGTAGAAAATCACACCCCACTTGCTACACTCGCCTGTCATATCCTCTTGTTTTCAGAAATTTCCAATAGTTTTCTCTGACATTTAATACTATATTTTTTATAATCAATAGAAAGCCAAGGTTTTAACCTATCAAATGACGTATTATATTACATTGTTTTCTGTATAGAGAATTGTGTATTTGCACTTCTAGTTGTAACTTTATTCCCATGAGAAACACATTGACGAGCATAGTGAATTTTTAACAGCTTTTATCGCTGAATAAGAAAGCCGGAAAGACTGATAGTTATGGGACATTGTCTGCTTTTTATATGTGATTATTCTGTGTTCTTTGATGCATTGGTTAATTTAAAAAAAATTATTTAGTGCAGTAGTACCATTAGTGTAAAAAGTAGGGTTAAGTTTCATTGACAGTTGACTACAAAAACAAAAAGACCCAGGTAAGTACTTTATTTGTTTTTCATGTGTATTCTTTATTTATTGTTATAAAGTTTACCAAAATGTAAAAGTTAGAAACTTTTTAGGTTAGATTAGGTGAAATAAGGAATAATAATAATAAGTTTCATGAGATATGCTTGCAAACAACTCATGACTAGCCCGTGCCTTATGTAATTTGATAGGGTAGTGTGAGCTTTACATCTGCTGAGTAAATTAAAAATTTTGTGTTAAGACTAACAGTTAAACATGGTTCAAAGGGTAATAAAACTAATTTAAGTATAAACAGATGTATACTGTTACAATTTTAAAGCTATTTAGGATAAACAAATGTAGTTTCATGTTATGATTTGAAGTTATTCTAGAAAGAAAAAGTAATTTAGATTTTAAAGTTTTACTGACCAAAAATGTTTGAAAGTTAATTAGGAGATTCTAGAGATTATGCAAATGAAATTTGAGATTTTTCAGATGTATAAAAGTTTTAATCTTAACATGAAAATCATTTTGCACTCTGAGCAGTCAACACTTTGATTCCATATTTTCATGGACAGATTTTTAGTTGAAATACATTATTAAAAATTCCGAATTTTTGTCTACAAATGGTTTTTAATTATTACTTAATTATTATTTTAATTATTACTTGACAAAGCCAAAGCAAGGGAGTTAATGCTTCAAATTCCATTATGTACAAAATCTATTTTAGTGACCGTATTTATTCATTAGTCACTCATTTTATGCTTTCTTCTGTTATAATTCTAGTCCAATAAACTTCAGTCACATTCATTTTTCATGACAGAAGTGATATGTTGTACTTAGAGATGCACTGATTATTATATCAGTATAAGCATTGATAATGGTATTATCAGCAAATATACCTTATAAAACTTCAATGTTCGTAATTTTGTGGATAATAATATGGTTTGGATTAGCTTTCAGCCAAAGAGACAATGTTATCAGATGCTGTCACCGTCTGATGGGTAAATTGGGATTTTCAGCTGGACATTTGTAGCGTCCACTCAGGTTTAAAGATTTAAGAATTTTAATTGTATGTTATTAGCAAACCTTATGTGCCCCAGAGATAGAGGGGGTTAAATAATTGTGGTGCTTGAGTATGTTTGTGATAACTGTTGAAGTTGTGGTTACCAATTTAATGTGTACAGGATTAAAGAAGGGATCCTTACAACAGTTTGATAGACATATTTTGCAGCGACTCAGAGTAGGACATCTCATTCCCAACCTAATAGTTGTGGCTGCAGCTGTAGCTAGAGTCAGGTAAGACTTGGATTTAAACATATACTTCTGTTGTATTTAGAGAAGTCTTTGATATGATTATTAAGTCACAATTAGAAAGACATATTTTGTATATATATATGTATATATATATATATATATATATATATATATATGTATATGTGTGTGTGTGTGTGTGTGTGTATACATATTTATATTTTACTTAATATTATGTTCATTATGAAATAAGCTTTCTTAGTTTCTAAATGTTCTGTACCAACATTTGTTGCCAAACTACTTATGACACCAACATAAACATGAATTACGAAGGAATGATCTTCACGTATTGACAGCAGCTTGCTCTTAATAGATATGTGACTGTTTGTGACATTTTTCAATTGTATGTTATTACATTTTGGGAAGTAGTTGTTCTCTAATCTGAAGAAATGTTATGCCCTCATTTTTGTTCAGTTACTGCTCATTGAATTTCAGCTTTTTATTTGTATGTTATTTAATGAATGCACTTGTGCCTAAGGAAAACATTGGTGCTTCATTCCCTAGTTTTTAGTTATATCATCATTTTGTCTAAATTGCTTAATTTTTAGCCTCTTTTACCAAAAGTGTAAGGGTTATTTCTTGAGTGATGGCACTATAACATAGACATACTTCTCAAGGAGTTTTACCATTCTTGCAAGAAAAGCTTTGGATCTGACTCCCATTTTGTTTGATTAATTAATTTTCACTCCACTTTGTTGGTTTTTTTTTTATGAAGGTGCACATGACATGTGCTATTAAAAGGGAGTCAACTTTTCTGCAGATAAAGAGTGTAGCATGCTAATCGATATATTGACCAAACTACTTATATGCACACACTTAAAGAAAGTTCATAAGGCAGTGATAAAGTTCCATGTCTGTATCCTATGGCTATTACTTTCTCCCAAATCAGAAATTATGAAAATTAGGCAAATTACCCTGTTTTTCCAGACTTTAACAAGTTTAAAAAATATAGATAAATCAATTTGTGGATAGATTATATGAAAGTGTGGACATATTCCATCGTTTTGGCACTGAATAAAAATTTAATACTGATGTCACAGCATTGAATATATTTTCCACAAAGATGAAAAAGCATTACCTTACAAATTTCAAACTTTCTAGTTCAGCAAATAACCTTTGAGTAGAAACTATCAGTGTACATTATTGCACTGCTGTGTTCATACCTTTACAGTAATTCTGAGCAAATAGATTGAGTTACAGAAAACTCATCCCAAGTGACAACAGTTCCTTGATCACAATAAGAGATAAATTTCAAAGTTTAACTAGATTTGCTATCACATAAGGCATAATTTTTTATTCCTCAACTTGTGGGTTTAGATAACAAATACTGCCTGGAAGATACACAGCTCTGAATGTAATGATACTTTCATCAATAGATAGGTGTTTACATGGACCAAACGCAGTGCTTAGTGGAGGGTTACAGATATTTTCCAGAGAGAATCAAATCCAGGCTGACCCCATTGTGGTCTGTCAAGACCATTGTCTGTAAAGTGGAGAAAGGAAATTATCAGCTCAGGTCGATTTCTCAACATAACTGAATGAAGTGAAGGTGAGCCAAAAGGTTCCCCATTAGTCTTCATGTTTATCCTTCTGGCACATTCCCATTGCATTCTGTAATGCTACGTAAGCTTTTAGTTCAGATAAATTTTTATTCACCCATTTGTGAAAACAAGACTAGGGTGCAATGTCAACTGGATTGTTGAAACACTCTTTGGCATGCCTGTTCGTCTCTTTAGAAATAAGTTCTGGAAAAAAGAAATTAAAAATAATCTACAGGTTGAAAATTTGTAGTATCCACAAGCACATTGACAATTATACTCTGGTAACCAGTCATTTTCAGATAGTTCAGAGTAATCATATCCCTGCCAGTCATCAACTGCAGGTTGTTGTTGCACTTGGATGGGCCGTGGTAACCGTAGAAGCTTGCTGCAGCTGGCCAGCTCTTCCTCTCCTTCCTCTGTCTACAGCACTGGTAGGTGTTTGAGTATGTTGTTGAAGGAGCAGGTGGCTGGACTCCACCTATCCACCCTCTTCCTTGTGTATGACCCTATGTACATGGTTGTGAATAGTGCTGTGGAGCTTCCTAGTTGCTGAGGGCATTTGCCTGGTGATCACTAGCAAACTCATTATCAGTTTCAGAGCATAGTAGGTGTACATCATCACTACCATTCATTATAATATTTTGTGTTTAGTTAGTTCTGAATACTTGCATCTGTGTTGTGGATGCCATTTTTAAATGTCCAAAATATTATGGAATTTTAAACTTTTTTTGTAGTTTGTGATTATTAGTGATAAGTGGTGTTATTTTTTCAAATACAACCATATACAACCAAAACATTTATTTTCATTCACTGGGGGGATATTTGGTATTACAAAACCAAGTGACACAATATATTTTAGACAAACAGAAAAGGGTTCGTTATGTCAACAAATGTCGCTATTCATGCTGTAAGGGTTAATACATCTCAATACGGTATTGTTTTGAAACATTGAATTTTACTTATTCAAGATTATTAACCTTATCTATAAAATTATGATTTTTTGTATATGGGCATGATGAATTAGTATTTTCATCAGATTTATTTCAAATTAATCCATTTCTAAATATTATAATATAAACATGTAAAGTTTTTCTTATTATACAGAATTTCTGTTTTTTAATGTTCATCATTAAGATATTGTAAGAACCGATTTACCTGTTAGGAATAATTAAATATGACAAAAGTATCATCTCTATACCTTTGATTGTAATAGGCTTGAAGCTCATGATGTTAAGAAAATGTCAGTTCAAAAAAATCAATGAAAGCAAAAATAAGAAACCCTGTAACCTTAGCACTTTAAAAGGTAAAGCTTTAATTTGTCATGGGCAAGTTGGAAATTACTATATTAACTCTTTCAACCCAAGCTTGGTCCCTGGGACCGACCTGGTAACCATTTTATGCTTGTTATAGTTTTCATGCTATAACTTTTAAATTAGTAAGCAAATGTTAACGAAATTTGGCAGTTTATCAGTAAACATTATAATGCTTTCATATGCAAAATATCTTTTTTTTTAATTAAGTCTTAAGGTTTGTAAAGCAGTGTTTTTCTCATGCCTTTTTTTTTTTCTTTTCACACTTTCCTATCTATCGTGCAAAGTAATTTTCATCTTAACATTAAAAATACTTTAATGCATAAGAAAATTTAACATGCAAAATCTTTATAATGTCCAAATAGTTATCAAACATTTCTTAAGAAAAAAGTATATATTTTATCTGTTATTTTCAGTAATTAATCTCTGTATGGGTTTGGTAGGTTTGACAGATCTTGTAACCACCCTAAAAAATTTGGAAATAAACATAAATTATGCATCTTTTACTTTAGAATGAACCCCAATTATAACATAAACATAAATGTTTAGATGAAATAGCTTAAATCTCATAACATTATACATTTATATATATATATATATATATATTTATTATTTTTATTATATTGACCTTTCACCCGTGCTTGGCTAACAATACAGAAGTTACAATGATGCAGTTCATGTGCAATCATGTTACCGTATCAAATAACATAAAGGTGATCTTTGGTCTGTACAAAGTAACTT